GGTTTAGTAATTTTAGACTCTGGATGTAATAGTCTTACATCCTTTAGAGCACTGTTTCCCAACCTTTTTCTGACCGCGCCCCCTTTTGACCTTGTTTCCTTCCTGTGGCCCCCCATGGGCATAGCCAAGGGGGGCAGCTGCGCTCCCAATAAGTAAAAATCAATACAAATCAATACAAATATGAGGTTCTGCCCCCCCCAACAAAAGCCTGCCCCCTAACAAAAATCCTGGTTACGCCCATGCCCCCCTCAATGTCCTGTCGGTAGAAAGGTAGCTGTTTAAATGTTTTGTTTGTAAATAGAACATGATTTATTTATAATTTTTATACTTTATGCAAAATACAATTACATAAAATGATAGGAACATAATGAAATATTGTTGAAGCAGAAAAACATAGAATCATGGAGTTGGAAGGGACCCAAGAGTCATCTAGTCCAACCCCCTTGCAATGCAGGAATCTCCGCTGAAGCATCCATGACAGATGGCCATCCAACCTCTGCTGAAAATCCTCCAAGGAAGGAGAGTCCAGAACCTCCTGAGGGAGATCCATCTTCCATGTATTATAAAAAGTAAACAACACTTATTTGACACAGAGGGGGGAAACATACAGATACAGCCCAAAGGGCCAAGTGATTGGCCAAGAGGATAGCCAGCCAATCAGGATTTTTTCCCTTCACTTCTCACTTCCTGCTGTGCCCCCCCCCAGCCTCTTGCTAGCCTCCCCCAATTGGGAAACACTGATTTGTAGTCCAATAGGGCTTGCCGATCAGAAGGTCAGTGGTTCGAATCCCTGCAACGGGGTGAGCTCCCGTTGTTCGGTCCCTGCTCCTGCCAACCTAGCAGTTTGAAAGCACGTCAAGTGCAAGTAGATAAATAGGTACCGCTCCGGTGGGAAGGTAAACGGCGTTTCCGTGTGCTGCTCTGGTTTGCCAGAAGCAGCTTAGTCATGCTGGCCACATGACCCGGAAGCTGTACGCCGGCTCCCTCGGCCAATAAAGCGAGAGTCGGCCACGACTGGACCTAATGGTCAGGGGTCCCTTTACCTTTACCTTTTTATGTGCAATGGTGCTACCCCTTTAGCATCACTCTTCCAGCTTTAAGCTCTGGTTTGAGAGTGCCTGTTCATTCACTTTCCTGAGTGGAGCCCCAGACCTCTTTCCCAAAGTCCTGTCTTGGCAGCACTTCTGGAAAGTAACTAGTTTTGTGGAGCCTGCAATATTAATACACTTAGTTTACAGATCAGAGTTACAGTCGCTTTCAATTTTGTTTGACAATCAGCGCTTTTGTCTGAAGACCACACATAGATAGTCGTTTATATTGTTTTGATCATAAACCCGATTCCAATATTGCAGTAGCTCTAAAGATTTTCAGGAATGACTATACAGAAAATGAGCCATTGAACACTGCAAGGTACTGTGGCACCCAGTTTATGATTTACACAGCCGTTCTTTCTACTTCTGATAATGCAACTTTGATAATGGATAAACTGTGTATTGAGGAGGAGAACTATATTTTTATTCAGTTAGTTGGTATGCCAGACCTAACTTACCGTGTCCTCAAGACCAACTTTATGTGCTGATTCATATGCTAAATTTGGATAAAGCATAAGCTGCATTGCATCTTGAGCTTGGGAGTATATTGAACATTGGCTTTTTGATTTCCCCATCTATAAAATTGGGACAATTATTATTGTGTTATATGAAGGCACTGCTACGTCCTTTGCAGCTATGGCTGACAATAATATATGAAAGCTTTCTATTGTTGCAGGACATTGCTAAAAATGAAAAGGATATTGGCAAACCCATTTTTTTTCTGAAGCGCAAATCATAATTACACATTGGCTTCAGAAGCTGTACGAAACCATCCTTTCACTTCAGAAATATATGCAGGTCTACTGATCTTTTCCAAAAAGTTCTTTATGGATGATGTACTCTGATGTATTTTCTATAAGGACTGCATGTATTCATCAAAGAGATAATAAGAACACAGGCTTTCCCAAGCTCTTAATGAATATCACTTTATTCATCACAAATTAGATTATTAGAGGGGCAGGATGTTTTGCCATCGGAACAGAGACTTAAAAAGTGTGGCATTCCATTATGTGAACTTGGTGGTGTAATTTAATTTCTCTGATCCTCTACCAATTTATTGATCAGTTACATATCAGCTAAATATTGGGTGGAATTCTACATTGCACAATGACAAATGCTCTGTCAGCTTGCCAGATGGAACAGTCTCCCTTCTCTTCTCCCCACATGCTCTTCCGAGGGTTCACCTGACTCCCGCAGAACCAAAAGTGGGGTGTGTGGAAGAGGGGAGGAGAGGGTGAAAGTCTCATTATGCAAGCAGGAAGACGTTGCATAGGGCTTCTTCTGATGGCACTTATTAGGCGAATCCTGTCCTTTATTTCTGGCTCTTCACTGGTTGAGAGCTATAGATTAGTCTGCATCCAGTATGTAACCAATGAGCAACAGATCCACATAATATGCATGAATATTATAAGCCTGCATTAATATGCACACTCTTGTGCTGGGGGGTTGTTTGGGGGTTTTGTTGTTGGGGGTGTTGCTGCTTGTTGTTTTGTAACTTTATTTTATATCTTGTGATTTATGTGGAAATTGCTCAGTTTGGTTGTGTATTCTTTAATGTTTATGACCAATTTTGCTAAGTTGCAGTTATGGTTTTTTTGTGTTGTAAGCTGCTCTGATCATGGTTACCAACTGTGGAATGGTGGCATACAAATAAAACTATGTATGTATGTGTATCATATAAGGACCGCTCTCCCCATCAATCGGAGGACGTCCTTTGTGTGGCCCCGCGCAGCACCCCCCATCCTCCGAGACTCTCGGCAAGACGCTCCTGGTCCACCTCCCCACATCACAGCCCTTTGAGGTTCCTGCCAAACCTCAGTTCAAAATGAACCAATAGTGGCGGAGGCGGAGCCAGGAGAGCGGACCAGGAAGGAGTAGTCTTCACTCTGGTCCACTCTTGGTGTATGTAAGGGGGGGCGGAGCCTACCTGGGAGTTCGCAATCAGCTCCAGAGCTTGGCAGAGAGACTGCGATTTTGCAATCTCGAATGGCAGTTTTAGGCCTTGAGCAGAATCCTTTAATCTATCTTCCCTAAATTTTTGGGGGGGGCACGTGAAGCGGTGACACGCCCCTGCAGCAGCGATCCCAGGGTTCCCCGTTAGAGGGGCTGTGTTGAGGGGAGCCACTGGCCCTACGCTGAAAGGTTGTCAGTGCACTCCCCTGTGTTGCGGTGAAATGGGGAGTGGGCTCTCTCCTTAAACATACGTCTTCCAGAGCCAGCCCACTCCCCAGACAGACTTGTTAATCCTGATGTGCCTCAGATTCCCGACTGGGGACTGGAGGGATAAACACCCAATGCCTAAGCCAAGGTCTTCCTACATCTGAAAGTTTAAATGAAGTTGTGGCCAATTTTAAACCCATAACACGTTGTCACTAGCCATTCTTTTCACCCGGGTGGCTCCTGGGGTTGGGGGGTCTCCGCCCAGGCATGCAAAAATATGCATATTGTGTTATAAATCATTTGACCTTAATAAGCATATTACTAATACCACAAGGCCATTTCATTCAGCTCATTGCATAAAGGTGGCCTTCATCAAAACCAGTTCATGCTGTTAGCATGTGGACAGCATCTTTTTAGCATAGTGTTAGCCAACTCCCCCTTCACTGCCATTTGTAAACTCAGTGAAGCAGGTCGGATATAGAGAGAGTTTCTCAGTCATGAGGTATGATACAGCCTTGTGTAGCCTTCCATTTCTGAAAATCTCTTGATGTGGAGTGCCGTACTGGAAAATGTGCTGCTAATCATGGAAAATCGCAACTCAGTCAGATGTTACTTCTTCTGCATTCATGTCCTACTGGGGTGCTCTGGGTCTGGAGAGATTTTGAAACCTCTAATCAGCTTCTTGATTTGAGGATATCATCTCTAGCCAGCATTACGGAAACTGCACAAAGACTCATCTTTCTGGCAGACTTCTTTCCTTCTCCACCTGATTCCTGTCATTTACTCCTAATAGTCATGTTTCAATAGCATTGCTGATCATAATAGCAACCTTAGTTCTTCAAGTGCTGTTCCTTGTATAGCTAAAAATATAGCTAAAAAGGGATCTGTGGACAAGAGGAGGGAACGGCAGGCTTGGGAAACCCCAAAGATTCCAGAAATACAAATAAAAATATAGATTTATTTAAAAAAAAACTCTTAAGGGTAGAAAAATCAAAAAAATGGCTCAATAAAGACTGACATGCTCCCTGGGCATTGTATGCTGGTCAATTGGTATTTGGGGGGGGGTGTGGAAAGGGGATAAGAAACTGCAGGAGGGGAGGCAGAATGGAATGGAAAGGCTAGAAACCTGAACAGGGATCACTTTAGACTGCAACACTTTGTTGTGGGGTCCTAGATGTTATTGTATATATATTGTAAATATACAGTGGTACCTCGGGTTAAGAACTTAATTCGTTCTGGAGGTGTGTTCTTAACCTGAAACTGTTGTTAACCTGAAGCATCACTTTAGCTAATGGGGCCTCCTGCTGCCACCACCGCGCCGCTGCATGATTTCTGTTCTCATTCTGAAGCAAATTTCTTAACCCGAGTTAATATTTCTGGGTTAGCGGAATCTGTAACCTGAAGTGTATGTAACCCGAGCTGCCACTGTATATATACTCTGAGAACACAGCTTAATTAAGATTACTATAACTACTACCATTGATTTTTTTCTTTAAAAATGTTTAGGGGTACTTTTATTTTCCTACTCATATTGAAATACTGCCCCTCAATGAGGCCAAACTTAGATTCACAAAATGTTTAGGGGTATGTGTACTCCTGCGTCCCCCCAGAAAAAAAGCACTGTGTACTACTACTCATAATAATAATAATAGTAATAATAATAATAAACATTACCTGCCTTCACCAGCAGGTCCCAAGGTGGATTACACAAATTTACAATTCAGAATTAAAAAACAAAAACCAGTTAAGAAAGATTACAGTCACAGGAATAAGGGATCTGTGTCTGGTTTATTTTTCATTATGCAGTATTGCCATAGAGACATTGCCATAGTGACAAAGATGAACAAAAGACTGGAGAACATGTAAGATTTCATTTGATCAAGCCATAATTGTCTTTTCTTTTCTTAAATAAACAAGATATTTGAAGCCTGGCTGAGCAGTAATAGTGTCGGCAAAGGAAATCCTTGATATTTTTCAGAACCAATTTTCTCCCATTTCTGTTATGAATCTGTAAAAAGTAGCAGCAATCCCATAGTGTTATTTCAGAAAGCCTATAGAGCAGTACGCAGTAAGCCCACAACTTATGTTCATTTAACTTGTGTGCATTCAGCTTTATGTGCAAGGCAAAAAAAGAGGCAGGGTTCCAGGAAAAACGACTTTGGCAATCACACCCACCATTGAACCCAATGTGTTTTGCCTGTACATGATTTTGGCTTTAGGCATGATCCCTGGAACATAACACCCATGTAAATTGCTGACTTACTATATATTCTAGAGTCCAACAGGCATCCAGCTATTAACTAGGATAAATATTTTGGGGGGTCAAAATTCCGTTTTGCAATAGTAATAGCCCCAAAGCAGCTTTAAGGGGAAAGGGCCTTCTCGGTGGTGGTGTCTTCCTGATGGAATTCTCTCTCCAGGGAGCTGACCTGATTACCGTCTTTGCTATCTTTCTGGCACCAGACAAAGACGTTTTTTATTTCCCCAGACCTTTAGGGTACAATCCTAAAGGAAAGAATAGATTTCCTGTTCTGCCTGCAGAGAGGGGTATTTATGGATGGAGAAGGAAATCTTTCACAAACCTCCTCTTACAGACATGGAAACCTCTGCCTACCTTGCTGCTCTAGTTTTGAGGGTGTTGATGACAAAAGCGGATTGTTCCAGGGACACATGGGGGAATGCTTTTGATCTGCTGGATCCCAACACTTACTTTCTCCCGAGGTGCTCACCGGATGGAAGAGGCATTTTCCCTCCAGCCACTCCCTCAGCTGCTCTGGTTGCTGTGAGATTTGAGAGTTTTTCTGCTATGGATTCTCTTTCCTGCTTTCCTAGTTTGCGAAGTCAATCTTTAAGCTGTGATTAATCTTTAACGCTGTATTGTTTTTAACACTTGATTGGGAGCTGCCCAGAGTGGCTAGGGAAACTCAGCCAGATGGGCGGGGTATACATAATAAATTATTATTATTATAAATTATTATGATGAGTTTATGGCTGCTATTTTTTTTTTTAAGCGGTGGCGGTGGCAATAGGGTTTCAGACAGGGGATATTAACAGCCTTACCTGGAGATGCCAGGGACTGAACTTACTACTAAGCTATGGTCCTTCCTTCTGAGTCTGCAAAGCATCCTCAGCTAATGCAGCAACTCTTCATCTCTTCGGTGAAAATAGACTAGAAAAGGATAATTGCTTCCCCCAACTTTTCTGCAGGCAGGAACGAGGAAGTATACGGAAATACCTCTCAAAAGTCGCTCCGATAATCAGCAACCTCACTGATTTTACATGCTCTCAAGTGTTTGCTCTCAATATAACGAAAACACATCACTTTATGCTCCACCTATGTACCTACCAAGTAAGGTATGGAAGCAAAGCGAAAACCACGGTGCGGCAAAAATCCCTCTCTGTTACTCTCGCTAGCCTGAAATGTATTGGATGCTAATCGCTGATAGAGATCTGAAATTACTTGGATAATATTTGGAAATTGCGCTAACTGCTGTTTTAAATTATCAGTCATCTGATCTTTGCTAGCTTGCTGTTTGCCACATAACTGATGCATAAGCCAACTTAGTAGACATATGAAGCTGTTTGTTTGTTTATAAAGCGCCTCATATCGCTCCAGGTGCTGTTTGGATTGAAACAAGGACAAATCCCTGCCAAGTCTCTGAGAGCAACATTCCCCAACCTAGTGCCTTCCTGATGTTTTGGACCACAATTCCTAGAGACCATACTGGCTGCTGGGAGCTGAAAGGTATCAGGTTCGAGCAGGGTGGTTTACAGTCAAACAAACAAAAGGGATAGGAAGTTGGAGTGTGAGCTCCCAGGGCAACACCTAGTTGGTTACTTTTTAGGTTCTCCCCAAATAAGAAATACCATTGGCTACGGGGAGGGAAAGGAATAATGAAATTTTAAAAATGCAATTAAATGGGTTTGGGAACTGTTATTGGTTGACATATGTAAAAGTCAGGTAGATTTTGAGGAGGTTGTGAGGCCGAGAGCAACCCGCATTGCAATGTTGTTGGAGATGGGCCAGTGTGGCTTCCGGTCAATGTCTATTTAAAGGCATGGTTGCTGCTCTGCTGCCAAGGTGAGAGGCAGCAATGATTCTGAATACCAGTTGCTGGAAACCGCAAGAGGGGACAGTGCTCTTGTGCTCAGGCCGCCATTGCAGGTTTCCCACAGGCATCTGGTTGGCCACTGTGAGAACAGGAGGCTGGACTAGATGGGCTGTTGGCCTGGTCTAGCAGGCTCTCCATAACAGTTTTATGACTACAGTGGTACCTCAGGTTAAGTACTTTATTCGTTCCGGAGGTCCGTACTTAACCTGAAACTGTTCTTAACCTGAAGCACCACTTTAGCTAATGGGGCCTCTTGCTGCTGCTGCACCGCCGGAGCACGATTTCTGTTCTCATCCTGAAGCAAAGTTCTTAACCTGAAGCACTATATCTGGGTTAGCGGAGTCTGTAACCTGAAGTGTATGTAACCTGAGGTACCACTGTATTGTAAAGGGAGAGTGGGATGTAAGAAAACTAACTAAACCTACCATTGCCCACCTCACACAGGAATGGAAATGGTAAAAACAAGCTGACATGAAAACATGCATATATATTTTTAATCATAATAATAAATAATAAATTTTATTTACCGGTATACCCCGCCCTCCCCGGCCAGAGGTGGGCTCAGGGCGGCTAACATCAATAAAACCACAGTAAAAACATAATGGGGGGGGGACCAATTTAAAATACAGGTTAAAATGCAATTTAAAATGCAGCTTCATTTTAAAAGTAGCCGATAGATCAAGACCATAGCGGGAGGGAAACATAAGGGTCAGACTGAGTCCAAACAAAAGGCCAGGCTGAATAGCTCTGTCTTGCAGGTCCTGTGGAAAGATGTCAAGTCTCTTTGTGACTGATATGCTCTGCCTCATTCATTCTCTTTCAGGCCACAGTTGTACAGCCAGGGGTTGCCAACCCTTCTGTATGCCCTTTTGGGCCAATGGGCATATTTTGCATTTTGAGGAAGTGATGTGGCAGAAAGTCACAGAATGGTCGCTGTAGTAGAGGCATGACATAATAACACAAAATGGCCGCCACATCTAGAAAAGCAGAAAAAGAGACAGGGCTACAAAATGGTGTAGGGATGTCTCTTCATCAGTTGAAAAGAGGCACTTACACCAGCCGCCACTGTGCTTGCTCATGGACAAAAAAGGTCTTTTAAGAATATATTTCTGGATGGACTTAGTGCTGTCCAATGTAATCATTAATAGTGCTATTCTAAAGGCACAGGGGGAGACAACCCTGCCATGAAAACTAGCTACATTTTGTTCTCCTAGCTCTGCCAAGCTCTACTTAATTTAATTTGCATTTTACTAGTAGTTTCAGTTAATAACCACCATGGGATAAAGAGAAAAAGTTTCAGTAATGCATTAACTATTATTTCCGACGCCGTCAGAACTGTGGGGAAGGTTGCCACTATAATAGCTGGCTTCCCCCATCCTATTGGGCCATTGTTATTACAGTTGTGCAAACAGTGTATTAAACTGCTTAAGCTACTTCTCTGTCTTATTCCTTGCTGTTCAGTTCTCCTCCCTGCCCTGACCACTCTGCCTCCCACTACTTAAATGCAACTGAGGCCAATGCAAAATCATATTACCCTTTTTAGGGATGATGGGTGCATTTGATTCTAGGCACCATTCTATCTGATGTGTTGGCACAGTGTATCACAGAATCAGTCTGCACTTGAGCCTACAACAAGAGGCTTCTCCCAAAGCATACACACTTCAAACAATTAGGTGCTGCCTATTTCTCCTCTCCTCCCACTCTGATTGGTCCATTCATGCCTCAAATCAACCATCTTTTCTTCCCATTTCCTCAACCTTCAATTTCCCCCTACCTTCTTCAGGTTTCTCAGTAACTTGTCAACTCTTCTCTTTTCATTTCATCTCTTCCAAGTCTGGCTTCCTTCACTCTGAGCTTTCCTTCCCTGAACCTTGAACCAGTCTTCAACTAGCTACTCTGCGAAGCTTTACTCCCAAGTCCTACTGACATTTGCTTCCCTCACCTTGCTGCCCTGTGAACTACTTTGTTACTGATAGATTTGAATTTCTGAGTCTTTCCACCAGCTTTGCCAAATAGTGCCAAGAGGCAATTGGAGACAGATTGACAAAAGGTCCTATAACAAAAAATACTTTTAAATTTGAGTGTACTCTTAAGTGATACAGTGATAAATGTCTCTTCTGAGGATCTCTGGTTCTTTTCTCAAAATAGTAGAGAGGTTGCTTACTTGCCTATTCTTGTGAAAATTATTAGCAATATTTGAAAGGGCTATATAGTGGGCCATTCTAATATTTCTTTAAGCATTTGATTCCAAATGTTAAAAATCACTTTACAATTGGGGTTTTGAATCTTACGGGCTTTTTATTTCTCAAAAAGCCTAATTCCAGAAATCACTTGTGTGTACACCAAACCTGTCTTTTACCAGCATATATGTCTTTACTATCACACCTCCTACACAGTGGATTAGAAAGCAACTGGCCGCTGTCTTCTGCTGTGAATAGCTACTAAAAGCATAATTTCATAGCTGTTTGTTATACAATCAATAGCTGTTAGGAATCAGCAACTCTGCTGTTCATAGTTCCCTTGTGGTGACATCGTTTCCTACATTTCTAAGGCTCATTCCTTGTTGTTTCCCAATTCTCAGAGAAGTAGATTTAACACATTCTACACTGAGGGGGAACTCTTGTCTGCTGAGAAACTCCTGCACATCTGCCACAGAACCTATAGGCATTGTAATGCTGTTTTGGGATACACACACGCAGTTTAGGTGGTGCCCTATGTGGTGCCCTCTAAATGTTATGGACTACAATTCCCATCAGCCCCAGCGAGCATATCCAGTGTTCAAGAATTATGGGAGCTTTAGTCCACAACTTCTGGTGGGTATCACACTGGCTATCCCTGAGTGGAGACTGAGCTGTGGATGAGTCCTTGGTTTGAATCTCACCTCTGCCATAAACTCACTAACTGGCCTTAGGCAAATCTTTCTCTTTTAGTCTCAGTCCCTCCATCTGCAATATGGGGAAATAATAATATAGAATTACTTTACAGAGGTGTTGTAAGGATTACAACTAGATAATACATGTTAACCTTTATGAACACTTGTGTTGTGCAAATGTTAAGTCTTATTTACTGCTATTCTTAATTTATTGGTGACAAATGATCTTAGGCAAACAATTTAATTAGCACTGCCCATTTCCCAAAATTAAAATTATTTATCAGCCCTACAGGAGGAGACAAGTTTGAAGGCACATTCTAAAGTGAAAAAATCACACATTATTAATGTCCCTATTGTACAGTGGCATAACCATATTTTAAGAGTAGTTTGTGAACAGAATGAGTAAATATATAAACATAATTGTAAATATCTGGCCTTTGCCAGCAATAATCACTGCCCTATATTTCGTGGATATATTCTGTCATGTACAATGGTTTTTGGAAGCACATCTACATGCAGTTGGAAAAAATAAAATATTCACTGAACAGGGTCATCTTCCATCATGATCTCATATTGTTCCATCCTGTCTCACATACAGCCAGCTAATTTCTTTTTCCAGCTGCGCAAAAGAATTTAGTTATCTTTCTCCATCATTATAAGCCAGCTGCTCTTTCTCCTAGAGATGGTCTCTGATGTAACATTTGCAAAGCCCATATTTTATCATGGCTGTCATGGAACAAAGCCAGAACAGAGTGGTCATCATTGCAATTCCTCACACCTCTGGATAAATACTAGCTTAAATAATGGGGTCCATAGCAAATATTCCTGAACTTCCACATTAGTTGGAATTAGGGTGTGATCTTACATGAGGGGGATCTCAAGATGCTTTTCAGAGTTGACTTCTTTCACCTTATTTCCCCTCCCCAAAACTTCTTTCTC